CGTTTATTTTTTTTAATTCAAAAAAGATATTCAAGTTGAAAACTTTTTTTCAATAGAATATTTAAATTCTTTTTTAATTGAAAACACAAACAGAATATTTAAACAAACTGAAAACACAAAATCTTATAAATTACTAGGAGTGCTCGCCGTTTGGCGGTTCGGTTGCGGTCAAAGAAATCTCAAATCCGTCATCCATCCGCCAGATTGGTGGATTGAAAAAAATCAATCCGCACCCGTCTACTCGTCATCACGCATCCGTCCAAAATGCGGCGGATCAGTTCGATTCGATCGGTTTTGACAGATCGGTATATCCGCTACTCACCCCTACCCCAAACCAGCCCTTAATAACAGAAAAGTAAGAATTTCATGAAGTTAAAAATAAATTAAAAAATAACTTAATTTTATTAAATAAACATATAACCACGTGATTTTTTTAATTTGTAGCATAATTTTTGCATGCCAAATGAGAATTCGACAGTAATCTCTCGTTCAATTTTTATTTTTATTATTTTTATTTTTAAAGTGAGTTAAAAGTGAGTTTTTAACTTTTAACTCATTTTATCTCTTACAAAAAAAAATTAAAGAATTAAAAAAAGTCAAAAAATTAACTTTTAACTATCTTTTCAAAACACTCTTGAGAATAATAGCATAATTTTCTGCATGCCAAATGAGAATTCAACAGTAATCTCTTGGCCAATTTTTTTTAAAAATAATGCTATATATATTGTGGGGATATATTTTCTGAGTACCAACACATGGCTAAGGTGACGCTGACGTGTCAACCGAGGTGCCACATGTCCTAGTCATGACGTCGAGATTATCTTCAAAATACCGGAATCAGAGATAAGCGGATAAGGGACAAGAGTCCTAGAATGAGAGAAGACTTCAGTTTGGGTAAAGATGAGACTCTCAGAGATTTATCCCAATCTTATTAAGAGTCCAAGATTAGCAGTAATCCTAAGTCCATTAAAGCTAGGGGATTAGGATTTTGTTGGCTAAAAAAGAGAGGCACCCTCATGGGTCTAAGGTATGTCTTTTATGCTTTTGATATTCTGTCTAGTGAGTTAAGCACTATTGGTTAGCTTTGAGAGATATTAAGTAGTGACTTGATTGTCGGAGTGCCCCCGGGTAGACGAGTCGCCGCCGGAAACTCTTCTTTCTATTGCAGGTCGTTCGGGCTTAACCTATTCTGTCGGTGTTCTCCAGTTGAGTACTAAGTTGGTAGTGTGGTTGAAAATTGACATACACATATACTAATTGAAATATTGATTAATGTATTAATAGATTATGTAGCATAATTTTAAAATTTTTGAATATTTATAATTTCTATAATAGATATAAGAGTAAATTACAAATAAACTTCTGAGATTTGTTTAAAATACAAATTATCTCATATGATTTAGAAAATTACAAATACATATTGTTAGTATTTTTTATTTAATAGAATTAACTAAAAAAAATAAAATTCATAATTGTTTTTCTATACAATAATAAAATCACATAAATCATTAATTGAAACATATTTATAATACTATTAAAAATTATTAATTGACTTGATAATTTATTAATAACAAGGGCGATTTGTAATGAAATTAGAAATCTCATGGAATGAAATATAATTTTTAAAATTATAAGAAACAATTTATATTTTAATTAAATCTAAAAAAATATATTTGTAATTTATCTTAAATATAATTATAATTTTAAATTAATAATATCATATTTTATATTAATATATTAATTAATATCAGCATTGATATCAATCCCTTCCTATCATCATCCTACTCCTACACACGCAGCAACCGATGATTGGAGGAAAAAAAATAAAAATAAAAACCCCATAGAGGTGGTGAAAAAAAAAAAAAAGAGTCCGATATTTATTGAATTAATATATCAATTAAAGGACCGCCGAATTTTTTAGGACCACTATCATTTCGTTGGATCACGTGGGAGGGAACAACCAAGTGTCCGGATCTTTATTGAATTAATAGTCCTGTTTGGTAGAGCTGTGAAAAAGTGCTTATAGTTTATACCTAAACAGCTTATAGCTTATAACTATCAACATAAGCTGATTTCTGACTTATTCTTAAAGTATTTTCTGTCCCACTCAAAGAATAACCTGATTTCTGACTTCCAAAAAGCTATAAACTATAAGCTAAATCAAACACATCAAAATAATTTCAATTAAGCTGAAAACTAAAATAAACTGATTATAATTTCTATCAAACAAGGAAAAATGCCTAACACCCCCAGTGGGGGTCACTGGGGATCGCCCCTGATAGGCTGAAAAAAAATTTTTTTTTTTTTTTTTTTTTAAAGAAAGTCCACCCAATAGCAGTGTGCCACCTGCCACTCGGATGCCCCAGCTGGGTCTGTAGCATAACCCATCAAACAAGCACAATATATCAATTAAAGGACCGCCGAATTTTTTAGGACCACTATCATTTCGTTGGATCACGTGGGAGGGAACAACCCCATTCAATGGTGGGCCATGCCTGCTTAGCCGGCTGTCAATTCAGTATTTTAAGTCAGTCATATCGTTGGATCACGTGGGAGGAAACAAACCCATTTAATGGTGGGCTATGCTTGCTTAGCTGGCTGTCAATTCAGTATTTCGGGTCAGTCTTTTGGTGATTTAATCAGAAAAAGTATTATATGTGACTGCTATTCTATATCTGAAAATGTCATAAATTTTAAATAAATTATAAAATTTTTATTCAAATTTTTCACATAACACATCTATATACAAGATTTAATAAAAAATTTAATAATTTATTTGATATCCTTAACATAACTCTTCTACATCAATTTAACTAACATGGAAGAATCCATTCCACGCAAAATATGGCGCCATTCAGGGGGGCCATCTATTATTGTGTGGTGTTTTGAAAAATTGATAAAAATTTAATTTTTTGACTTTTCCACCTAATCAAACACAGTGAAAAAGTATTATATGTGACTGCTATTCCATATCTGAAAATGTCATAAATTTTAAATAAATTATAAAATTTTTATTCAAATTTTTCACATAACACACCTGTATAAGAGCTTTAATAAAAAATTTAATAATTTATTTGATATTCTTACCATAACTTTTCTACATCAATTTAACTAACAACAATGATTCATCCCACTAAAAACATCACCACTAATAGCACTAATGCATTCAAAAAGTAAAAAAAAAAAATTTTACTTCCCAAGATATTTCTATCTTATCTAAAAAATATACAATGGCAAATTTCAATTAAAAAAATTATAAAATTAATAAAAATAATTATCATTTTAATAATTATAATTATAATTATTTTTTATAAATTTATAAATATTTTATAAAAATATCATTAATTACAACTTTCTCGTAAAATTTTATGTCTGCAATATTCAGGACCTTCTCGTTCTTCTTCGTCAAAGTCCTTGGGCCATCGGCTTTTCGCTGCCGGCGTCTGGTGCACTTCATCGTTCTCATCACGCACTAGCCCTGGGCAAAAAACATCAAGGGGATTATTGCATCAAAAATTTAAAAACTTAGGCCTTGTTTGATTTGTGTTTCAGAAACAATTTTCTAAAATCTTCTCTGAAAACACATTTCTGGGAGTAATCAAACCAAACAGATTTTCCTAAAAAAATTCTCAGAAATGTGTTTGGTTGTCTTTTTTCAAGATCACTTTTCAAAACAAATTCTCAGAAATCCGTTTGGTTGGTTTTTTCAGAAACACAAAATACAAACACCCCCCAATTATGTAAACATGTTTTTTTTTCTTTTCTTTTCTTTTTTTTTTCTTTTTTTTTTGAGAATGAAGCAAAACAGCACAGATTAGAATGAAATTGATGGATACTCACAGCATGGTCAAGAAATTCATGCAATAAAGCTGTATTTTCTAATGCAAAAATCTGGCCTTATGCCAGATCAGTTCACCTTTGGAAGCATAATAAGATCTTGCTCAAGTTTGAGTTCCATTGAGCTAGGGAGGCAGTTGCATGTTCATGTCATTAAATCAGAATTTGGTTCCCACGTTATTGCACAAAATGCTTTGATTGCAATGTACACAAAATTTGGTCAAATTGTTGATGCATTGGATGTGTTTTCTGGTATTAAAAAAAAGGATTTCATTTCATGGAATGCAATCATTGCAGGGTTTGCGTATGGTGGTGATGCAGACGAAGCCATACTGTTTTTTTCTCAGATGAACACAGTACCTGTTACCACACTGACAACATACAAAACCAATGTCTCAATGAAGACTAACAGAATCTATTTAAGCACCCAATTAAGGCCTTCTGTAAAAACATGTAAAAATGGATCTAAATATGTAAACACACATTCAGAACACACAGCAGCATCTGTTCCCAGACCAAAAAACAGAAAGCAGCATAATGCAAATTTAACATACACAGAGAAGCATCTATTCTAGTTACAGATTCAGAACACACAGAGATGGGACTGTTCCAATTACAGCATCTAAATATAAAATACAGATTCACCATTGCATCTAAATTTAAAATACAGATTCACCACTTACAGCATCTAAATTTAAAAAACAGATTCAGAACACAGCAACACAGACTTGCTAGCAACACAACAAATTTAAAATTAATCTAATCACAACTATCCACTGTTTCACTATTTTGCCAGCAACACAGCAACACAAACTTCAACACATGGATACAGAACATCACCCAGATAAAGAACACACAGATTCAGAACAGCACCACAGTGAATTTGATTGCAGCAGCCGCACCACGCGTTGGCTTCATCTGCATATGGCTTTTGAGTTAGCAATCTCATTTTCAAATATATACAAGAAATACAAATATAATGTGAAGTTTGAAACATTAACCTACTTTGATTATGTGCTCCATTTTTTCCAATTACCAAAAAGAATCTACCTACTTGTTATCATATACCTATTGTTGTATGCTTCCCACATAGATGCTGCAACCTCATCTCGCCATTGTCCCATCTGCACTAGTTGTTCACGTGACATGTTCACATGGTTTTGTTATTGCATAGTTGGTACTCCATCTTCATTTCCGTGGACATTTTGAACTCCAACTTCACCCTCAACTTGGCTTGCACCTTCACCTCCACTTTTACCTTCACCTTCACCTTCATCTTCGTCTTCGTCTTCAACGTCATCTTCATCTTCGTCACTTGATTCTTCTGCATCGAAAAATTCATCCTGCTCTTGCACCGTCCGGATCCAATTGTGGAGAACACAACATGCCATAACGATTGGCCCTTGTCGTACCATATCATACCGTGACATGTGTCTCAATAATGGAAACCGTTGCTTCAACACTCTAAAGGTTCTTTCTATAACATTCCTCAAAGAAGAATGTCTATGGTTAAACAACTCCTGTGGACCATGGTAGCGACGCCGCCTATTGAACTCTTGCAAATGGTATTTTTGGCCACGATATGGGGCTACGTACCCAGGCATGTGTGTATACCCGGCGTCAACAAGATAATACTTGTCTACAGGAAAACTCTTTCAGTAAGAACATGTCATGCCATATTTGGGTGTGAGAAAAAAACAAATACACTTACTAGGTGGTGGGTGTGGAAAGTCAGTAGAATTTGTGGTAAGTGCTTCTAGGAAAATTCGCGAATCGTGTGCACTACCTTCCCAACCAGTGTATACAAACGTAAACTTCATGTCAAATGAACATGCAGCCATGACATTTTGAGTTGTATGCACTTTTCTACCTCGATATGGCATTTGGTCACCTTCTGGTGCCATAACAACAACATGTGTGCCATCTATGGCCCCCGCACAGTCCTACATGACATAACTTTGAATTAATTTATCTAATTTTCAATCTGAATAAGCCATATAAAATAATGCAAATGAACTTAAGTTTTTGTTACCTTAAACCATGGCCAGTACCGTCTATCATTCCGAATTTTATGATGGGTCACATCCATGTTCGGTGGTTGGATTACAAATGGCGCATAATTTCCCAACGCCCGCATCATAAGTACGAAATGACGATGAATTGTCTCATTTGAGTGTTGAAATCGATCTCCTGCATTTCTTGTTCCTGAACTTTGACCACAGATAAATAAAAACATAGCCAACGACTCTTCAAGTGACAATCGCATGTTCGACCAGTCTACAACATTCTACGGACAATCTGTTTAACTAATTCCACAAATGTCGGGATTTCCATTCGCAATTGTTCACGGATTGATTTAGGATTTCCACTTAGTAAGAATTTTATGTACTGCTCACCGGTGTATGGACAATTACGTTGCGGTTGTCTCATAGGAATGTCACGTGTTAGTTGACAAACCATGTGTAAGTCCATCACATCATCGTCATCGTCACTGTATGGGTCGTACATACTGTTCAGTTGTCTTCCATTGGATCGTGACGACGACATCTAAAGCGGAAAGTGTAAAACAGTCAAGGTATTATCAGTAATGACATGAGTACAACACTAAAAATTTCTTGAGGACATTGCAACAAAGAAAGCATGGCGAAAAGATATTACGACAACATAGTAGTAAGCCTAAAGCCAATGAACTTAGGCAGCATGATATAGATAGTTAGGTCAACACCCAACATAGTCCAAACCGAATATTACAAAAACAAACAAATTAAAACAAATATAATTTAAGTTTAACAAATGCGAAAAACAAAGAAAAATACACCCAAACAATTCTGCGAGCATCTTCATTTCCAGAAACCTCAAACCAAACAGTGGGATGACTAACCTTCTCACAAACTGAGGATCCAAAGGTACCTCATTTCTGGTTCCATGGTCATAAACATGGTTCGCCATTCTAGTGATGTGAACATGTTCATGGCCTTCAAAAACAAGCTCGAATCCAGGGCCATTGATTTTAGGATGATCATACATGCTGCAACGGAGTACGCATCAGCTGCCCCAGCGTTGGCCTCGACTTGAAGGTAAAACCGTTCACGTGCTTCACATGAACGTTGCCATGATTGCAATGCATCGTCCATTTTTGGGTTCTTGCTGGACTGACCCTGGCCACTAGACTTACGCTTACTTCCGGAATTTATAGATTCACCTACTACGCCTTTTCCTGACATATATGCATGAAAGCGTTCATCCATTTCTCGCTCGTCATCAGATGTGGGTGCACCCTGACGAGAAGAACGCGCAGAAGCGCCCGTGGCAAATGACATGGCAAATATTTCTGATAGGAGCTCATAATGTTCAAGGCCTTTGGTTTGGAATTGTTTTGCATTTGGGTGTGCCTACAAGTTGTAAACTTTAATTAATTAAGCATTTAGAAAATTATTTCTCTATGCACATAGTTATGCTAAATGTATGCACCAAATAATTACCTGAACATAATTTTCCCAAACATCGTCTGGGGTTGTCACTGTTTGAGTGATTGGATCCTAGCCCAAACTCGTGTGGTTTTTCAGAGTAACAAACTCTTTGTAGTTCGCCTTCAAACGCGCGAACTTACCCTTCAATTTTTTTTGCCCATAATTTTTTCTAACCTTTTTAGTCATCTCATCATCAATTGTTTGCCACTGCCTTGGGAAAAAACTCCTATCTTTCTTTGACATGGAAGGACCCTCTTTCTTTATTTCGTCCACCAATATTTCTAAAAATATCTTGACAATTTCGGACCCCCACATCTTAAAGTCGTCATTATCGTTAGCCATTCTAGCCTAATACAAGTGCAACAAATTACAGTTTATAGTTATGTGAACAACTTAAGTTCCAGAAAAAGTTTGGCAGTACATGACATGAAGCATAGGCATAATAATAGCCATTACGAATATTACAAATATTTAATATGAGATTCCGCGTGCAAAAGATTACCGGATAAAGACAATCGTTTTCAGCTGTGGAGGAATTGATTGATGGTTGAGGTGATCTCTTCCTCTTGGCCCTTGGTGTATTGAACAATGACCGTGGAGTACAAAGTTGGGCTGGTTTAAAATCAAAATGAAAATTTCAGAATGAGCAGAATTTATGTGGCATACACGAGCAGAATTATCCAACCAGAATTTTCAGAATGAGCAGAATTTATGTACGCATACATGAGCAGAATTTATATTTCAAATCAAGTACCGCCTTTTTTTCTAGTCATTCATTTCTGGTCAATCCGAGAAAAATCATTGAAGTTATTCTAAGTGAACATATGTGAAATACAATATTCAAACCTTCATAGTTTAAATTTTAAATCCTGCCAGTATTCTAAATCAATTTTGCCTTATAAAATTGAAGAGAATTGTCATTCCAGCTACATCGACTCCACAACACTAACTGATATAGAACCAAAACTGGGTCAGATTGTGAGAACCATGCCACTCCTGTGAAACACACTATTGGGCTGTTTTTTGAGCCCATGCAATAGAGATCACCATCTAGAATTTTTGGCTGGTTGCCTGGTTAAATTTAAAGAACATTGACAATGTTTGTACACTAATTTGTAGTTTTGACATTAGTAGAATAAAAAATTAAATTAATTCCACTCTAAAATCCCAACAAAAGTAGAAAAATGAATATAATTGAAAAATGCCAATAGAACAACTCAAAGTTTGTTGAAGAAGAAAATAAAAAGGCTGCTCCAAACAGGGAAATTAATTTTTGCAAAACGTTCATTAGATCATTTCAGTACGAATATCCCAAACAGAGTTTTTGATCTGTCATTGATGATATAAATGCTCTCAGAATTTGTATTGACCAGAATTTATGTATGCATTGACCAGAATTTATGTATGCATACATGACTAGAAAAAATGTGGTACTTGCATTGACCAGAATTTGTGTGGTCATTTATAGCCTTCTCTTGAATGGTTCATTTGCAGCATACTATTCCCAAAATAAAAGCTGAAATGGAGAAAACATTGCAGTGGCTCATTCCCATTGCCACTAACACAACCAAGTAAAACTACTAGCCTTGACAACATTATGCAAACTCAACCACTATATAAAAAATTAAACTACTCCATTAAAACTTTAAAATCTACTCAAAAGATAAACAACTCAATCTTTTTAACACATTCTAAACTGCTACTCGACTCATTTACAAGCCTAATCAGTAGTGTTTTGTAACCTTACATTTGCTATTTTTCAATGTATCAAAACTGCATCTTCTATTTCCAACATCAAATAGGTGCAGCATTTTCTATTTTCTCATTGTTTTTATATTCTCAAAGTAAAAGATTTTTTGAAAAGCCAAAACTACAACAAAAGCAACACTCATCAACTGCTATGTTAGACTTGGCTTGCTCACAAACACAAAACACACACCAAGCCTACTAATCTACAGAATGAAAGCTTCATCGGAATCAATTCAGTAGAAAATGATACAAAACAAAAAATAAGAGTGCAAATGTATAATAAAGTAAAGAAGATTCCAATGTTTGTGGTGTAAACCAAGTGGTGTAGCAATTGCTATCGATTCCATATCCCAAAAGTCTGGCGTCAAAGATAGTGTAACAAATTGCATCAAGCTTTTGCACAATATGCAAGGATATATTACAGTATATGACCACAAAATCCTGCATTTTCGGGCAAAAATTTCCTTCTTATTTGAGAGCTTGAAAATGATATCAGCAGAATTGAGGGACCTTTAAATTATTCTTTCACCTTCATTGTTTACTGCCGTGGAACGAAATTCATGGCTGAAATCAGTGTAAATTCATCTTTTCACAAAAAATGGGGAGAAACAACCATTTTCTTATCAAAATTGCTAATCCTAAAAAGAGAACTATCTGTAATCTGCATATGTTCTATGAGACACCAAATAAATTAAGCTAAGGTTAATTTACCGATTTCGAAAATTATCTGGTGTGTGACTGTATGGACTACGATTTCAAAAATTTACCAGAATCAGTCAATACATTGTTCAAAACTAACAAACCCAAATGAAATTTAAAAAAAAAAAAAAAAGTAGTCATGCATTAGAAATACCTCTTGCTTGCCTGGTTTTGGTGGCCCTCAAATTCCACCGTCCACAACGAAGTTTTGAGCACGGCCTCTCCGTTTTTGCAGCGAATGATGAAGTTATGCTTCGTCTTGGTGGGGTTCGACGCTGGTTGGTTTGCATTTTATAGAGCCTAGAAGAAAAAAACGAAGGACATTGATGTTACAAGTCCCGATTGTGTGAAGATTTCATTCAGTTTGACTAAGACCAAAGCTAGGGCACGATTTGGGGAAATCTGTGAGGCAGAGAAGTTGTGATAGACAGTGTCGGTGCATCTAATGCGGAAGATTTCAAAAATCTTGAACATCGTATTGATGGAGGGAAGGCAAGTGGGTCTTCGAAGGCACTTGGGCGAGTGCAGATCTTGACATACAGGTGCGGATCGTCTTCCTTCACACAGCCGATAGAGAGCCGTTGGACTGCCTTGAATGATTTTCTTTGTATCACAGAGATAGGTCAGAGAGGTTCTTTTGAGAGAGAGAAGGCAGGAGATGTGTTTTCAGAGAAGTTTTGAGAGAGAGAAATTCCAAAACGTGTTCTGAGATGAGTCTCAGAGAATATTTCAGAAACAGGTTTGCCAAACGTGTTTTGGTACTTTTTTCTCTCAAAAATTGTTTCTGAAATACAAACCAAACAAGCCCTTAATCTCCATTTGGTTTACTTTTTGAATTATAATTTGAGTATAAAATTGTGGTTTAAGTGTGAAATTATTAGTAATTGAGTTTTGAAAAGAGAAAATTTGTTTGGCTATAAATTTTGAAAAGAGTTTTGAGAAGAGTTTTTAAATTTTAAATTTTGAAAAGAGTTTTGAATTATATTTTGAGTTATATTTTGAGTTTTGAGTTTTTGAATTTTAAATTGTATTTTGAAATTTTTTGAATTTATTTTTTTAAAATATTTAAGAAAATTTTATTTTATTGTTAAATATTAATTGCTATTTAAATATTTTTTCAATTTTTAATTTTAAATAATTTATTTTATTTTGAGGTAAATTACAAATACACCCCTTGAGATTTAATTAAAATACGAATCGCCCTTTGTAATTTTGAAAATTACATTCCATCCATGAAGTTTTTAATTTCATAACAAATCGTCAATTTTATTAACAAATTATCAAGTCAATTAACAATTTTTAATGATGTTAAAAATATGATTTAATTAATAATTTAGGTAATTTTATTATTGTATAGGAGAACAATTATAAATTTCATTTTTTTCGTTAATTCTGTTAAATAAAAAATTCTAACAAGGGGATATTTGTAAATTTTCAAACCACAGGGATAATCTGTATTTTAAGCAAACGTCAGGGGTCAATTTTATTAACAAATTATCAAGTCAATTAACAATTTTTAATGATGTTAAAAATATGATTTAATTAATAATTTAGGTAATTTTATTATTGTATAGGAGAACAATTATAAATTTCATTTTTTTCGTTAATTCTGTTAAATAAAAAATTATA